TTTCTTTTTGAATTACATTGTAATAATTGAATTATCATTCTAAATATAAAATGAAATCTTACTAATGAAAATAGATTATATTTATATATTAATTTCTTTATTCAGTTTAATATATATGAAAAACTAGTATGAAATGTTAAATATAATATATTACAATTCTTAACATCAAATAAATCTGAATTGATCAAGATAATTACAACAATAATATGTTTATTAATATCATTAATTAAAACATTTGCACTCAGGATGCTGTTAAGAAAATTCGATCATACATTCAATAGACTTCAGATTATTTTTTTCCAAGCATTTTACTTCAAAATTCTTTACACATAGCTCTACATTACAAGGTAAAGTTATTATTGTACTTTTACAAATTAATTGCCAACAATTATATCTAAATAATTCAATATAATTTACAATTTTATAAATTTTTATTTCCAAATTCTATCTACACATTATTAAAAGCATGGTTCTGTCTCTCAACATTCATTATGACAAACTTATTCTTAAGATGCACAACCATAGAATTCTTACATACGTTTAATATAATCTTATGGACACTGTTAATAAGCATAGGCTTCATCAAAGGCAGAAATTATTGGAATTAAGGCTAACAAAATAAATAACCCTTATTTCATTGATAATAATGAATATAATTATTAAGAAACTTAGAATCTACTCAATTTATAAGGTTCATATTACGTTGAATATAACGTAATTAGTTTATTAATAGTTATATTTATTAATAATAGAATTAATGATGGCTTTATTACCATTTTGAAACTATATTCATTTGAAACTTTTCTTGCATTTAATTATCAACAAATTAAAGTTAAAAATTTGTTGAAAATTTTAGATACATTAATTATTTTATTATATTGTTTTTATTATTCTTTTTGTAAAATTAATAAGCTGAATTAAAATATTATATGTTTGTTAGTTATTTTTAATTAGATTAAGTTAATAATCAAATTTATCATCACTAAAGAATAAATAAGTGTCAATTTATTTAATATCCAATGTAAAAATTAATTAATTAATATCAAATTTATAATATCGAGTTTAACATTCAATATCAAAGTTTTTTTCAAATCAGTATAT